AGCAAATGACGTGCAACTTTCAAATGAACACCAGGTACTAGTGTTGAAATTTTCCAGTTCTGGCCAGACCAGTATTTAATAAACATTGCTGGACTGTACACCTTTGTTTAAACATAACTACGGATCTAAGAAGCAAACTAGAACTTAAGGAACCCAAGAACATACATATGTCCCTTCACAACAAAGACGAGGAATGAAATGAGGAATTTCTTGCCCAAACAATGTTTACAGTTATCGGGCAAGCAATAAATATTCTACCTTTCCCCATCATCGCCGCCATCATGAGCACCCGCGCACCCACAGCTGTGTGTGTGTGTGTGTGTGTGTCTACAGAATGTGCCCAAAATAATGTCAACACAGAAGTCAAGAGAACAAAGCACGCGTTACAATGCGCTGCCAGCAGAGAAATGGAAACGGTGGCAATATGTTGCCGTTGTTTACAACGCCAAGCCCTCGCCATGGGATTCTTGAGAAATTGGCGCATGCTGTGAGTTGCGCAGACATATCTATTTTCTACACACACTCACACACACACAGACACACACAAATTCACTGCGATTCAGTATTGTCCATTGCGTTTGGCTATTGCTTTTGTTAGACTTTTGCATGCTTTTTTTTATTTTCATTCACGCCAACCAGCCAACACCGTTGGGATTGGGATTTTTTGTTCTTGTTGTTGCTGCTGGTTTTCTGCTCACAGCAGCAGGCGAGCAAACAAACGAAATCGCCTAGGGGCCCCTTTTTATTTTGGATATCAACGATGATACATTATGCGAGGCGACGACGACGACTTTGGATGCGGCTCTGGCATGCCGAATGGTCATGCTCCTTAGCTCTCTAATCTTGGCTAGCTGGAAAGTGTCAACAGCATGGCGCGCTACCGTTCTACGTAACTCGTAAGTCAACAGCAGCACAGAAGCAGCACAACAGCAACAACTTTTTGCATTTCTTCATATTTTGCAAGCAAACAATTTTTCGCTGGAATTTATCTGATTCTGTTGAGTCATGCAATGTCTTCGCCACCGTTTGAATTATGGAGATGATAATGCGTTTGAATATGTGTGTCTCTGACTATGACTTCGACATGAGTGTCAAGCTATAAGCCAGCTAGGGAAACACTTGGAAACATTTTTCAGCATTTTGACAAAAATCGCAGAACAGTTGTTAGAAATATATATTTTTTTTATTAATGTAGAACATTTAACTAACTAAATAATAAACAATAAGCGCAAAAAAATTACAAATTATATCATTAAATTATATATATCCTCTAATTTATTTCTTTTTCTGATAGTTCCTTTTTTCTCAGGCTATAAAATATTTTTAATTTTTTCTAGCACCATTTACTTTCTTAATATAACTTCTTGAAATATTTTGTTGTTTGTTTGTACAAATAAATTTCTAATATCAACAATATGGTTACAAGCATTTCAAAAATATTGATAAATTGCAAAATATTTTTAAAACTAATATTTTTAGAAAAAATATAATTTGTATGCGAATATTAATTTTTTTTTTTTGTATTTTAGAAAATCCTTCTCTAGAAAATATAGTAACCTTTAAGTATAACTAAAAGCCTCTTACAAATAAATATGAAGAGAATGCTCTAAGGCTACTAATTCAGACAACCAAAAAGGCAGAAAGATGAGAACAAACCGCACAGCAAAGACCGATAGACGAGAAAGGACAAAATAGGAAGAAGTACGGCAATATGGGTTAGATCGGGACATATAAGCTTCAGTAGCACCTCTTATATATATTCTACACATACCAGACTACTGTTATCTGAGAATTTCTGCATTTAAACGCAAAATGTACATTTTTTCTAATATCTAATAGAATTTGAAGCAACTTTATTCAATTTAAAAAAAAAATTTGACTATATTCTACGATAATTTTGCAAGCTCTAAATATTTAAGGATATTTTGTTGCTTATAGTACTCCTTTTTAAGAAATTTGTAAAATAAATAATAGAAATGTTCTGGAGAATTTCCCAAATCAAGACAACATATTTTTTTGAGTGCAAACTATTGCTCTATGCGGACCACAAGACGCAGCAAAAATTTGCATTTAAATCAGTAGCCAACGAAACGCAAGACTTAAGCAACGAACGTTTCTTTTGTATATTTTGTTGTTGTGGTGGGGTTTTTTTGTTTGCCTAAACCAAGTGGCTGCTTGAACGGAGCAGGCAATTAAATGCCTTGTACTTGGGCACCCCTTGCCAGCCTGCCACAAACATTTTTACCCAAAACTGGGCACTCGGACACGCGCACTGGCAACTTAATTGAGTTTATTAGCTCGCTCCCAGCCATTGCCGTCGTCATCAGTATCGTCGTCATCTCCACCACCATCGCCATCGTCATTGCCATCGCGGCTGTCCTCGTCAAAACCGAAAAAATGAAGAAATTGCCGCTGACATGCGCTTGAGAAAATAAAAATATATGAATTCACATTCGCAAACATGCTACGTGCATATATAAAGCAAAAATAACGGTAACATCAAAAATATGTATTTTTTATTTTACAACTTGTCGGTGGCTCTTGTTGCTTGACATCGGCATCGGAGGCGGTGTCGGTGGCGGTGGCGGTGGCGGCAGTCCAACAACATTGGCAGCAATCAACGGCTGTCCAACTGTAGAGGCTACCCTGCCTCCTACTTTCGACATATCAGCGCAAATGTTGCAGATGTGCGCGTGACTCAACATGTCAGCTTAGAATCACGCAAGTTCAGAAGTCCGACTAGGAATGTACCTTGCATTTTAAATGTATTTTCATTTATGTGTTGTGGGACTACAATATCAGATAAAACATCGGTATATCGGTATTTGTTTTGAATAGTAAGGTATTCTCAGTTGGGCTCCACATTGTTATTCTGCTCTATTATCTATTCATCTACTTGTATAAAAATCCTTTTAACACATTTAGTCGAAGATATAGTTATAGTAATTTAAGGGCGTTCAGAGTTCTTACGAAAACATTTTATCTGGGAGCCTTGAAATACCTCTTTTACAATATCTTTCAAGTTTATTTGCTCTTCACCAATAGCGTCGATCACGCACGAATTCGTGCACATCTCTATTAGCTGCCCGCACTTCGTGTCCTTCTCATAAATTAATGACACTCGCGCGCAATGTAAAAGGTGTGTGAGTTAACGTGGAATGGAATGATATAAAATAAAATGCAATTTTGGAAATAATTAAATATGAAGTTCGTTTTGCAAAACGGGGGCAATGCAACAGTGCGTAGTATTCCTTGGCACGCAAAAAAAAAAGAAAAATTCTTTAGGGCACACACATTTCAGAGAAAAGTTTATTTACAATTAGCTAAAAGAGAAACTTCAACTTCAATAACACAGTGATAATTTTTTTATGTTTTCTAATTGAAGCAAGTAGTTATTTAAATTATTTGTATATTCATTTGATGTAGCATAGCACAGAATATTTTAAAATTTCGAAATGTACTTTCTAGTTGTATGTATACCCTGTAGTTGCAGGAGTGAAAGTCTGAACAACAAATGCATGTAACAGACAAAAGAAATCGTGGCACACTTTATGTTATAGGTGCTTAAATTAATAACAAATTATTTATTGTCTAATTATTTATTAATCAGTAAGTATGGTTGTGAATACAATGAAGACACCATTAAATTAGAGTTGTTATTTGAATTCCCAATCAGGTGATTGAATGAGCAAATCTTGTTGAATATTTAAATGAAGGGATCCAATTGGAAATAATAGAAAAAGTTGCTTGTATTTCGTTGTAAGTTATAACATTTTTAAAATACTTACAGTACATGCAAGATATGATGTGAAATTTTTAGGCATTCTTAGAAAAAAACAATAAAAAATATACTATGTGAATTAGCTTTGAAAAAAATTAAATTAGATATATGCTATATATATACTACTTTTTTTTGGCAATTTTAAGAAAATGTTTGTTGTACAGTGATCCCAAATTATATATACGATTCGAAGCACACAATTGTATGAAGTAGTTCCCTTTAATAAATTAAGTCTTTCAGCGATAATAGTTCGATTGCTTCTCATCAAAATCCAGAGCTCAAAAGAAAGTTTAAAAACAAACGGATATGGATATGGAGTGTTTGAATTGAAAGATTTTGTTTTATCTTCGTATATAGTATAAACATATTCTATACTGCAAGACTAATTTGTTTAGAACAGCACGTTTCTTTGTAAATCACATTCGCTATCGTGCTTCATTCATATCCGCCACACCCCATTAGACGCTTTTCTATAGCAACAAAAGATTTTCAAAATATTTTCATATTCTAGTCAAATCGGTCAGATGATTCGCTACCTTGTTCTGTTTTACGTAATTTTTCTCGTATTAATTCAAGTCGGAAGAGGTCGGATGTATGGCTGCTGCGAGTGTAATAAAAATTGTACATTGACTTATTACTGTTGTCACTATGGCAAATGAATGGAAAAATAAACTATTTTAATTAAATTTCATAATATATTGTTCTGAGTAGAAGTAAGTCATCTATAATTGGCATTGCAATAGAGTTAATGTAATCAGACTTTGCATCCATAATACGTTAAAGGTTTCGTCACACCCATAAGGGTATATAAGATCGACAATTGAATAAACTTTGAAAACTTTTCGAGGACAAATTGTTGTTAAATTGTTGTTGTGAGTAACGGCTTAAAATAAGTTCTTCAGTAGTAAATCATCAGAATTAAATCAGAATTAGCTTTGCAACAGAGTTCGCGTGATCAACTTTTGCATGCATAATGCGTAAAAAGGTTTTGTCCCACATGCGGGGCTATATTAGTTCGAGATTTGAACAAATATTGAGCAATTGACAGGATGAAGCTGTGTATATTTTGGATCGTTGGAGTTTTATTATTGGGCAGCACAAACGCAATGACGACGCTCAAGTGCTGTGAATGCAATAGGAATTGTATGTTCTATTCGGAGTGTTGTGATGTGAAACGTTAATGGATTATTACTATTAAACGAGAATTAAACAGCTTTTGTTGAATTACATATTTCTGGGATAAGCAATAAATATTATGAAAATTGAAAGTCTATAGAATAATTATAAACACTGACAAAAATTAACAAAAGTGGCAAAGCAATAATAATAATAAGTCTTAAGATGTTCTGTTGATCTGTTATTCTAGAAGTAGAACTTGAATTGAAATTGGAAGGATGAAGTTGTCTGTCATCTGTGGTCCTTGGGTTCACGTGGGTTCTGCTGTGATTGCGATTGTCGTGTACATATTCATTAATTGCTGTAGGAAATGAAATATATGTTTGAAAATTAAATTGAGCATGACAAGATTAAAGTGTAAAGATTCGAATATTACTGATTTTTAAATAAGTAATTGAACATGTTTTAAGCTAAATTTACGTTATTTGTTTTTGATTTAAATACGAAATACTCATTTTAAAGATGAAATTTTTTTATGTGTATAAAACGATACACATTTATAAAGCAACTAATAAATAAATAAGTGATTTTAATAAGTTTTACCAAAACATCTTAGCAGGTTAAAACTTAAATAAACTAACAACGTCAGTTAGTCATGAGTTTGAGAAATAGAGTCGAAATCGCTGTGAAAACGTTCGTTTCTCATCTTTTAAGCGCATACGAAATAGGTTTAGGGAAATTATGGTGTTACTAATGGTTAACTCTAAATTTTTGAAATTTTTGTCCTTTTGGTTTTCCGTGTGATATACTTCTAATGTTCTATCAAAACCACAATAAGATTGGTTTATCAGATGAAACGTTTATGTAAAATGCCTATCGAGTTTTTTTTAAAAAGCTTAAAATTGGTTCTTTTTTCGACGCTCATTTCATTCTCCATTTTTGTGTTCGGCTATTAATTCAATTGAAACTCCACAAAGCTGGAAAATCTTATAACAAGGGTATTTTCTACGCTTTCATAACAGTTAATGTAAATCCACGGTTAATTTATTTATTTTCGGTACAGCTTTATTAAATGTTCTTTCTAGGTATCACTTAGTGTCATCGTGGCCCACCGACAATATGATTTGGTTCGTTGCTCTTTTCTGCGGTCTTCTACTTCAACAAGCCACACAAATTCAAGCATTTGCGTGCTGGAACTGTGATGCAAATTGCACGCTGCCCTATTACTGTTGTCATCGTTACTTTGAGTGATACTATTTAAAAAATACAACTATACTATTTTTATCCTTTTGTCCTTTTGGCTTTCCGTTTGATATACTTCTAATGTTCAATCAAAACCACAATAAGCTTGGTTTATCAGATGAAACGTTTATGTAAAATGCCTATCGAGTTTTTTTTAAAAAACATAAAATTGGTTCCTTTTTCGACGCTCATTTCAGTCTCCATTTTTGTGTTCGGCTATTAATTCAATTGAAACTCCACAAAGCTGGAAAATCTTATAACAAGGGTATTTTCTACGCTTTCATAACAGTTAATGTAAATCTAATGACAGAATTATGCCGTAATGCCGTAATTTCCACGGCTGATTTATTTATTTTCGGTACAGCTTTATTAAATGTTCTTTCTAGGTATCACTTAGTGTCATCGTGGCCCACCGACAATATGATTTGGTTCGTTGCTCTTTTCTATGGTCTTCTACTTCAACAAGACACAAAAATTCAAGCATTTGCGTGCTTGAACTGTGATGCAAATTGCACACTGCCCTATTACTGTTGCCATCATTACTTTGAGTGATACTATTTAAAAAATACAACTATACTGATTTTAAAAAAATGTATGTGCTAATATCGTGCTGAAAATTGCATAAAAAATTTACAAAGAAAATACCAATACCCAGTGTTCTTTCTTAAAAAATTTAATTTAAATTTATGAACCAATTTTTACAAATTCTCAAGAAAGCAAAGGAGTTGGGTTTGTCTTAGTCCATCATGGGCATATATATATTCGAATCTATTATAAATGTGAAGTAAGAAGAGCATACTTTTGGGAGTTACGTTTAGATTTAACAGCGAAGTGTGAAGGTACTTCTAAAAAACAAATATATTTAAAAGGCATTAAACGAGAATTCCTGCAACTAAGTTGAATTTGAGAAACGATTATGTGCATTAAATATTTGAGAATTCCTTTTTAAATCACTTTTTTCCACCGTAACGTTTTAACCTAAATATTTTAATAATACTGCAAAACGGTACTTAGTAAAATATTTCACACGCGTATTAAAAAGACATTTTATTAAATGGCGACCATATCAGAATGTGATGATAACTTTAAAATGTACGTTGAAATAATTAGACATAACATAGCGATATGCATTGGGAAAGTAAGTGTCAACACATTTCGGATTTTTGTTGTCAAGGTCAGTCAGCTTGACCAATCTGTCGCATTCCAAATTTATATAATTTTGGATACGTATCAACGATTATAAGAACTTTTACTATTGAACTTCGCAAAACTTCACTCTTTTTGGTTTTTTATACAGACAGACCAAAACACAAAAGGACAGATGGATAGATGGATATAAGTATGTAACAAAGTCCACACCTCGCATACCTTCACTATTAAGTACATAGTATTATTTTCAAGCCTAATTAGTTAACAAATATATCTACGTATCAAAACGATGGCAACTTTCAGACTGAACACAGTTCTAGAGTTTTCCTAGAACATTCGTCTTCTAAGACAGCAAATTCCTAAATGACAAGACATCTATTAAGTTAAGGAAAAACTACAAATTAATGAGTTCAACTTTAAGGAGAATGCTGCAAACTAATAATAAAAAAAATAGACAAAGCACTTGCCTCTTGAACCTTAGCACACATTAAACTACAAATACACACATACAAGTATATAGAAACATACGAGTACATACGGAGCAGCTGCATGAAAAAAAGCATCATAAAGTAAGCTGAGAGTGGAGTTCAGCGACCAAAACTCTCACTAGCCACTTAAAAATTAACGCTTTTGACAGCTAAACGGACTTTCAAATGTACAAAGAGCAGAAAGCCAAAAAAAAACAAGAAAAAATCTAAAAAAAATTATATATAAAACTGTGCGCAGCCGACACAGATTGTAACGAAGCGAATGCGCAAGCGCAACAAAGTGTCAATGCGACTGGCAGCGAAGACGTTAACAAGATTGGCAGCGACTGCGTCTGCAGCGACAGAGTACTGTGGTCAGCATTGAATATTTAACAAATTCAGAAAAAAGAGAAAATAGTTTCACATTTTATACAAAACTTCTGTCAAAATGTTCAGTGATAATAGCTTAAAATAATTTTTATTTTGACAAGCCGTTGAAGGTAACAATGTGCTCAGTCAGATCAGAAAATGAAACCATAAGTTTATCATCTTATACTACATGTTCAGATGTTTATATTCCTCCAATCAAAAATAAAGCTAATATATTCTTTTTTAAGTTTGAAGAGTTTGTGGTCAATTTAATATTGCCTGTGTTCTTTTTAAGCATTTCAAAAATATGAAAAAGCTAAGACTGAACTGTTTGCTGTGCTATGATAATATTATCTTGAATGTGGTTAAGCATAGCTTCTCAAAATGTTTGAGTTAAGTTTTAGTTTTTAAATACACTGCAACGTAGAAATAGGTGGATATAAAATTTCCTACTAAAAGGTTTGAAAAATTTGTTTGTTTAAATAAAATGTATGCAAAAATTACAAAACACTTATGTTTCAATATTTTCTCTTTTGTAGACCTAGAAAAGAATCATATCATATCATGATATCAGTTTTTAATTTATTTTCACATAGCTTGACACTTTATATTAATATTGTTGATCTAAAGAAAGTAATGCTCTATTCCAGCATTTAGCTTTGTATTCTTATTGCTCCATACTTTCGAAATGTTTAAATTGTTTATGTTTTGTACAATATGTTTAGAATAAGCTCACCATGGATATTTATAGAAAATACAAATAATTTCAAAATTCAATTAGAATATATTTGATTTATGAATTAGATTTTATATGATTCTGGTTTTTTTAAGTTAAGGGTGATGATGACCACCTGTTGCAGCCGAATTAATTTTATGAAACTTGTTTCAAAAAAACTAAGATGTTAGGCGTCATTTGTAGAACATTTATAAAAACAAACTTGAGTAAAAATAATAACAAAAAAGTTAAGAACATTTTCCACTTCAGTGCGTACTTTCTATACCTTTCAGTTTTCTACATAGTAAGCTAGAATTATATTAATAATAATATACTCTGGGGTTCTACATCATAAGAGTATTGTCAAACATTTTATAAAATACTTTAACTAATTAAGTGAAACTTAATAACTAATGGACTGATGTTTTAAAATAGTTTTTTGATCAGTTTTGATCAAAAATACTGTCATAAGTATTACTTTAAATAGCATACAAAAACAACTGAAAATAAATCATAAAACCAAATAGTTAACAGCAAAGAAATAGCAAAAAGTTAAGAAACAGTTCATAAGGATTATATGATTTAAGAATGAATTTATTTCAACTGCGTTTTAAATGTTAACCACTGTACGGCGCCGTCGTCTACGAATGCGGCAGATGAGACGGCGAGCAATGTTCAGATTTTCTCATAAGGTGCAAAATCTTTCAACATCGTAAAAAAAGTAACAACAACAACAGCACAGAGAAAAATACACAAAAATTAAAGCATTGTTGTTAACACGACCGACAGTCGACGCCGCTCATAAAAAGCCGGGCCGCCTCTTTTCTCGTAATTTTGGTTTGGTCTTCATCTGCTGCTGCTGTTGTTGTTGTTGCTGTTGCTTTTGGGGCCGAAGTTTGCTCCTAATTAGTCGGAGACTGGCCATGTACCCTGCGGTCAGTTCTGCAGTTGTTGCTGCGCTTCCAAAACACTCACAAATACACAAACATCTCGGCATACTTGTATGTATGTTCTTGAAAATTGTATTGTACGCTTATTCTGCAGCAGAAAAAGTGCCAAAAACGCGTCGCACCATGATTCCAATTGCTGCGCTCAACAATGGACCACTAAAAATCTGCAGTAATAAATAAATTAACTTCTTTACGACAACAACAATCTGATATTGCTTTCATGTCCGACGCCGCTCAATGACTCAATTATGTTGAAGCTCATTGTTTTTAAATTTTTCTTAATTTTGTTATGGTTATGGCTGTTTTGTTGCCCTCTTCGCGTTTACTTATCTGCCTTGTTAGCCGACCAGCTGTGTCTGTTCAAATTGCGGAAATTTGTAGCTTCCAACCAAAAATGAGCAACAACAACAACACTACACAACAGCGAACAAAAACTCAATTTAAATGGGGTCATAATTGCCAAATGCTTGCGTTGAGGGTTACTAACCTGAAATTCTGACATTGTTGGAACCATTTCGTTGTAATTAAGATTGTAATAATATTTTTGTTAATGCTCTTAATTAGCTAATTTGCAAACAATAAAAAATAGACTCGCTTTTTTCCCCTTCCTACACGTACCTTTATTTGTTGTAAATAGTTTTTCATTTTTTTCCTTTATTTGTTTAAGGCGGCTGTAAAAATTGCAAAGTCATTTGATGGACATTAGATAGCCGGGAAGCATAACATTATGAATGAACGAAAAATTTGCCAAGAAAGTAAAATAATTAAATGCGTAGCTACAGATTTTTCATTTCATACAAATGTGGAAAGTTGCACAGATCTTTAGATGACTTGCGATTAAAAAACTAAAATATGCAACCGAAATAATAAGTTTATTAAGAAACGAAAGTAATTGAAAAGCTCTACATAAACATTAGAAATCCGACCATAGGGACTTCCATTTGGTATATTTTTTACTAAATGGAAACATTTCTATGCATTTGAAGCCACTCTTCTTTACTATACGTTCGTTACCTTAATTGCTTGAGGTCCTTTCAATGTAAAATAAATAAGCCATTTGGAAGCCATTTTTCAAGACTGTTAAGAGGATAAATTATTAATATTAGTCATAAATTTAATTGTGATGGATGGATTTGTAAACAAATATGATTCTATTAACCTTTTAAAGAATTTTTAAACACTTTGAAGAGGTGCACCTAACTTATGGGAAAGCTCTACTCTAAATACTAAACAATTAAGAAAACGTTCAACGTGTGTAAATGAAAAAGCGTGAGGCATCCAAGCCTATACTCGAGCTCGATAGCATTGAGCACAATCCTAGGTAGTGCTACACACATACATATGTACATATAGTATGTATGTACGAGGTTGTTGTATATGTGGCACATAGTAGTGTTGCAAAAATTCAGCTCAGTTCCCACGTTTGGCAAACTAAAACACTTTCATGCTATACAATATAAAGACATAAAAACCTACCCACACAGACACGCTGCACTCGCCTGAGAACATTTTATGCTGTCCACCTGCAAAAACGTTCACTAAACGGAAAGAAGATCTGCCAGCATATCTCCCAGCTGCGTGCAACTCACAAACAGTTACGCAGAATATTTCTTTTTTTCTGTATGGCAGGTAGCTCGTCTCTCTTTCTCCAGTCTAGAGACGGGCTCATTTTCCCAAAACATTTCCGAACAATTGAGTTTTCAAAATGACAATTTTTTCTATTTTTTTTTTATCATGTACAACGAAATAGAACAATGCCTTCTGACATTGCACCTGAGAGTCTATTGTGTCGCTTTTTATTGTCTATAGAGAAAATAATGGTTAATATAATTATAAAAAAGGTGGAGTGAAAAACTGCGCGTATAGCTCAAGCACGAAGCAGCTGCCAAACAAAAACAAAAATGTGTCGAAAACAAGTTCGTTGCTTAAGTCTTTCGTATGGAAGGAGAAGAAAAAATGAAGTTTTTTGACTAAGCACAAGGGGCTGTGCCCAAAACTCGATTTAACGCTTCACTACTGACAAATGAGCAGCATATCCTGTTGATCCTGTTATGAGGAAATAATTATAATGCCGACATACTTGGGGCCAACGTGTGAATGCTTCGAGTGCGCAGCGAAGTTTAATTGCAAAAATAATTAAAAACTCATAAATTACCAGAAATGACAAAAAGCAACATATATTTAGGCGCAAAAACTGGACAATGCGCAAATTTAATTATGGCCAGCTTGACGCTGCTTCAATAAGCATTAATTAATTCATTAAACAATGCGCTCTGGCCCACTGGAGCAGCAGCAGCAGCAGCAACAACAACAACAACAACTGCAACAACACCACGCGCAGCTAAATCAATCAACGCCAAATTCAGCCAACATGCATATTCCCTAAGGACATGGACTGCTCTGTCAGATGTATATACACTAAAAAAAAAGATGATATAAGTCATGCACTGGTATTGAGAATTTTTTTTTAAAGGCTGAAAACACTACACGCTTGGATAAATATTCCAGCACAGAGCCCTTTGTACAATAGTTAATACTTAGATAATGGCTTCATTTTATTAAAGTGGAGTCTCAACTAATTCAGAATCTTTTTGGGACGTAAGATTCAAAGGCAACTTAAACTTTATTTTAGGCCACGTTTTTATACTCCATCAAATATTCCAGAAAATATATTCCAAAAATAAAATATTTATGTCAACTAAAGATAAATAAATAAATATTTAATTTCTTTAATTTAGCAAGAACCTTTTTAAAATTAAATAGATCTACAAAATAAGAATTTAAATAAATTAGCAACATTCGACTAATGGAGGATTTTTGTTGTTGTGTAATTCTCGCACAACCCAACCGGTTTGCCCAACACTTGCTCCTGTCGCATCCTGAGCTCGCTGGCACTTAGAATATGTATTATGCAACTTGCAGTGGCGACTCCGTCTCTCTGCTCATAATTTATTGATTTTATATGGCGTCACATTTGTCTCGTTGTCTCGTCTCGTCTTGTCGCCCCAGCTCCAACTCCAATTCCAACTGACCGCTGACAGTTTTTGCCGCCGCAGTTGAGACTTTTTGACAGTTGCAGGTTGTTGCAGTCGTTCTCGTCGTCGTCATCGTCATTTCATACTGAGTTTGCTGTCACTTTAATTGCAACTGACGCGTTGCCAAAAAAATAAAAAATATATATATATATATATATATATATATACAAGTATATACATTCATGCAGTGCTGGCAACGCCAATGTCAGTTGTCAGCCAAATCAACCCTACAGCCACAGTCACATGTCCTTTGTGCATCATAAACTCGCCTGTCATTTCAATTTTTCATGCTGCCAAAAATGTGCCGCAACTCTCGCAAGGTGTATGTGGCTAGGCAACTTTTATGCCGTTTCCCTTTATTATTTATACTTGTATTTGCATGCGTTGTCGGTCAATGAGGGCGATCCTCCACGTGGTAGTTGGTTACATGTATAATTAACAGAATTGGGAGCAGGAAACATTAATATCTGAGTCTGAGGTCTCCATTTAAGTTGATGCTAACTATGCAACGACTATTGAATTAAATGTATTTTTAAGGTAATTGTAAAAAATAATATTTATCTGTGTTGCTAAAGAAAATCTATTTAAATATTATACTGGAGCAGTTGATTAAAGTCGATCTTCTCTACGAGAAGGGACAGGAGCTACCAAACATAGCGATTAAGCCACTTTAATACAAAAATCTGGTTTCTTTCCGATCCAATCAGACACTTTTTTTTATCTGCTCATCAGTATTCCGGAGCACTATTTTAGCAACATATTGAACAAAACGTTAGAAATATTTACTTCAAATACGCAACCGGAAAGCCCACGGCCTACTGTTTATTGCAGCAAAGCCATGAAACGGTAACAACTATTACTATTTGCCACAGGACTTTCAACAGATTTATATAAATTATAAATGTTAAATTGTAATTAGGACTAAACACCTAGTTTAAGTTGTATTTGTATTTAAATATAAGTTTAATTGTTGTTCGTGCGTTGCTTAAACTCAAATATTCCTCGACTTTGAAGATAAGCACACAATGAAAGCAATAGATGCAAAGTTTTTCAATTTTTTAAAGTTATTTTTTTATTTTTTTTATTTTTAATTCATTTAGAGTCTTTCTATGTGTCACGTTTAATCCTAATAGCTCAGAGGTTAGGGTTATTTAATTGATTACTGAGCCTAGGACAAGCTCTGGCATTGTACTCGTTTCAGCAAGATCATTTTGTAAGAAAAGAAAGAAAGAAATACAAGTAAAGTTGTTAAGGTGACATTGTCCTACTACTGTTGCATTTTTGTACATATCTAACCAACTAAACCTCCTTCTGCAGGAAAAGTATTTAAATGTAATTTCTTTTGGTCATATTTCATGAAACATGTCGGGTACCGCTAACATTTTCGTTTAATTATATCGCTGTATTTAATGACATGATATGATAGCACCTTTCCCGACCCTTTCGCATTTTAAATACATAGCCGCCTAGCCGTTAGTTATGCCTCACAATAAATTTGACTTGCACGCAATCTAAAATTCAGAAAAGCAACCCTTTCACTAATAGTTCTGATGAGCAGATAATAAATTACAGAAATGCAGACGAATTTTAATTAAAAGTTTAATACACACAAATGAACATCAAACAACCAACCCCAAAACCCTTTTAGAATTATTGGTATTCTAACAGAAAACCTCTCGCCCATTTCCATGCCACACAGCAGGTGCAGACCTCAAGCCACAACAAAGAAGTTAAAGAAGTGATAATGATAATACAGGTATATATAATAAAACGACGCGACTCGACCCGACGCTTAACAATCAAAAGCCATTATCAAAATGTTAAGCCCCAAAATGCAAAAGGCAAGTAAACAATTAAAATGCAATTTCGTGCAAATCCTTTAGGTTAAGCAGCCCCCACGAAAACTGAAACTGTAAGGGCGTTGCAGCTGCCGCAACCACTGATGCAACAACTGCTTCCGATGCAGCAGCAGCAGTAGCAGCAACTTGTTGCAGATGCATATCGCGCTGCTGCTGCCTACTCATTAGTCGCTTAAATGTGTAGCGAAGCGCAGCGTATTTATTTTATTAATTTTGATACCGAAATTGTTTTCTTATATAACTTGTCGCGACAACGCGCATGCAACATGCAACACACAATGTGCCAGTTTATGCAGCGTGACCATTTCCAAAAAGTTGTATTCGGTCAACCCCCTCAGGAAGCATTGGAATAAAGAGACAAAACAACTCAGTTTGCATGTCCGTCTTACCCTATCCTTAATACGGAGTATATTCTTTAATTTTGTATTATCGCCGGTCAGTCGAAATTACATTAAAAACTATGAGCGTTTCAATTTTGGCAGCGTGTCGGTGTCGTGTCCCGGCGCCATTTCCACAGTTCGATTCCTACACGCTTTCTGCTCACCAACAGACCCGCAGACCTGCAGACTGGCAGATCTTCATGATCGAACAGGTGTAAAGATTTTGGTTTGCACCTTGACTTCTGCTTCCGTTTTGGAAACGCTTGTCAATATAAATTCTGTTTTCTTCCTTTAATTCTGTTGTTGTTGTTGTTACTGCCTCTTTTTTTCGGCTGGGGGATAATTTTTGCGCATTTGCTGCCTCGCCATGAACAGTTGCATTCATTTGTGAGTCATACAGGGTGCCCAGCTTTAATTTTTCTGGCCCTCCATTGATTTGGCAATGGTTATAGATTTTCTTTTGGCCTTTTCTGCATGCAAAGCGTTATAATGTGCTTTGATTTTAAAGGTCGCACCATCTTACCCAACTCCTTCAAACGCTTGTGCTCCTTGGACTCGGCATCCACACACAGTGAGAGCACATAGTGCAGTATTGGTATAACAACAAAGAGTTTTGGAAATGTGCGCCAGGAAAAATTCATGTTTTCAACTTTTCTGTGTGCTGTCATAAAATAATTTATAAAATATGGTCTACTTATTTAAAACAAAAAAACATCTTTAACATATATTTATATTATTTATATATTTGATTTTTAAACGCCATAAATAACTTATTTTAAATAACTTAATATATATAACAACTTTTGACTTTCTTCAATAAATGTAAAAGTCTATCCGTTCAAGTGGTTATCTTTATCCTATCCATCGTTTTCCTATTCTTTCTAAATTCTCCAGTTTTAAGAAGAGTTTTGTTCGAATAAAGTATTGACATTACTTCAGCAAAAATATTTTAATTTTGTTAGTTAGTTTTTTGTTCCCTGTCTGATGATAGCTTAATCCTCTTTTCAGTCATTAATCTATATAATTTTAGTATTCTAAATCAAAATACACACACAAATGCCTTTCAGAACTCTACTATTAAGACACCCGGTATAGCTCTCCCCTTTTTAATTGTTAACTTCATATTAAGGACTTCATTATCAACAATGTAATGTAACCAAAGGAAACCAGAAACATTTAGCAACACTGAGAAAAAGAATTGGACTACATACGAAATATTATAATGAACAATATTCATAAACGTTTTAAATGTGCACTTTAATGTAATGAATAGTAATTAATTAGAGAAAGTGTTTAAAATTGTGGATTTTGATTAAACAAAAGTTAAGAACAAGCAATGCTTTAAAAACAAGCATTTTATAAATATATATTTTTTAAAGATGCAAACCATTTAATATTATCACAAACTTATCGAAAAAGGAATAGTTTCATAATTTATATTCGTGCGATGAAATCGTTTCATTATATAATCAGTTTCGTTGTAAAGCTTTAACAAATTAGAGGTACTGGTACCTCTTCGTCTTACTTAAAGTAGAACGCAATTGGCAAACCCCACATATATACAAGGTAGTCCTTATTTTAAGGAGATATTGGACATTAAATAATAAAATATTTATATGTGCAAAGTAAGAATATAATATACTCGAAATTATTATTATTATTATTATCTACATTTATTTCCGGTGTAAAACTGCTAATGCAGAGCTACACACAATACAACCACAACATGACTTCCTCAATATAAATCATTGCGCCTGTTTTAATGTCTTTCCTACCCCCATAAAGCAACTTTCTTCATAAGGCCTCCGAAAACTGCTGCAACAGAAAGCTGCTATCTTCAGGTGTTACCAGAAATAAAAAAGCTACCCTTCCATTAAAGAGGGGGAAAAAATGATATATTTAATCCGTTCGCTCGTACATTCGTTCAAGCGTGTATTCGTCTTCGATACAACAACGACAGCAATGATAAACCTGATATGAAACACATTTAAGGGCTTAACTTGGGTAATCTGCAGTTTGTTGAAGTAGAAATAACAACAACAACAGCAACTACGGCAAGCAGCGAAATTAAAACATGAGAGTAAGACGCTGAGATGGACGTGAGAGGGGCACTTGGCAGGCGGGTGCTTGAAGAGACGTCGTCTCGTCGACACATGTGTGCAGGTGGATTTCTCAAGTGGCCGCGTCCGCTTTCTTATGTCTATATAAGAGAGAGTACATATAGTATATGTTTATATATGTGTGTGTGTGTGTCAATACAGCTGAAGCCAAATTGAGAACAAGAGCAGCACTAAAAGCAACTGAATACCGCATAGAGGGCAAATCTGCTTGTACTTTTAAGTGGACACAAGTGTGGCTACATACATACAAACGAGCATATATACTTGTATATACTATATGGTGGGTATGTAAGTCCGAGTAGTAAGTAATTCTTTGACATTTGATGTGCTATGCCAGAAAATGATTAACACATCTATACAAGTATGCGATTATAAAGAGCAGCAAGAAAAGAGACTAATAAAGTTGGCTGTATTTCTAATTTAATCATATCGCAATTATTTGTATGCATTTATTATCTTATAGCGACATTAATTGGATTATTGTTGAATTGTTGGACAGCTTGGAAGCCAAAATTTGTCAAGCAGCCTTTTAGCGGGATTTGAAATCTTTTGATACAAATTAATTTATACATCAGTTTTTTAAGTAGATATTCACTGTAAGACAAAGATACCTATAATCTATAAAAGAAATGTATATTATATTTATGTAATTTAATTATGAATTGAATTATTAATGAAAACAGATGTCTCGATCAATTTGATTGTTTATTTATTATTTTATTGAAATAATTTCAGTTTTAAATCCAAATATGAAACAAAATTAAAAAAATAATAAAATCGAAATCCTGAGCCCTTCATGTTTAAATGATTTAATTTCATTTCTGCTAACAAACAACGTTGTCGAAGAATAAAGAAAGCATTGTTAAAGAAGTCTTATAGTTAAAAATAAATGACGAATAGAAAATCAATAAGAAATTAAAAAGGCTGTCTAGATGGAAGAAAATTATTAGCTATTGCCTATTTGTTCTTAATATTTTATTTTTTGAAGCGCTATCTACCTCATATTTAATAGACATCTCAAATCAAAGTTCAATAATAGGGTTCTTAATTTTATATTCCATCGTCCAGCATTACAAACAAATTAATTTCTAATCGTAATCATATGTTTGTTGGCGCCAAAAAGCGGATTTTATTTAAGGCCACACTCTGTCTATAAGGCCAGGCAAATCCAAAAGCTACATTATTATTGTTATAAGAATAAAATTTCTATACCTATACTTACCTGGATGTAGCAACATTTTGAGCTTTCTATTTCGGGATTTGTGATTCGAAACTGGTGTAGCGGAATCATTGTTGATAGTTACCTGGTAAGTAATAATTAAGATTTAAATAAAAACGGATAATTTTAACGATTAATAAATAAAGTGAAAATCAGACAATAGCCCCTGATTGTTTAAGTGTAACTTTTATATCACTTTTAGGGTATAAGATCGAAAATCTAAATTTTTCTTGTTACAAAAATTATTTTTTAAACACTTAAAAGAAATGTGTGCAGCTTTAAAATGACAAGTGATCGGCCAATTTTAACAAACCAACATGCTGATATTCGTCATCTATTTAGTCAATCGAACAGCCTTGGGTTTTATTGGCTCTTCCATTTATGCAAAAGCCAAATTTCTAGATCTCTAATATGCAGAAATGTAATATTTGAAAGATGTTTTTCATAAATTCAATCTTAGACAACTATTACAAATAAGTTTGGTAACGCAATCGCAATTTGTGTGCTGAACAACAACAAAATAAAAGTGCTGCTACATGCTTATAGAATTTCGAAAAAACATTTTGATTGACAGCTGGAAATCTCAAGACCATAAACGTTTCCTATTACCATTTACAGCATCTGTGTAAGCCTCATCGCATTTATACTATGCTCATTAGCGTAACTTTTACGAGCACGCTGGCTGGCCGGCATTCCTCAATAAAACTGCCTCAGAGAAAAAACAATCCCAGAAATAAATGTCAATTTAGCTGAAGCTGAGCAAATACATTTACGACAGCAGTTGTTACCGACATTATGTATGCTAGCTTAAGATTTGGCAGTCAAGATTTGGTCCAGAATTCAGCGGGGAATACACAATTGTGTGTGTGTGTGTGTGTGTGTGTGTGTGTGTGTGTGTGTGTGTGTGTGTGTGTGTGTGTGTGTGTGTGTGTGTGTGTGTGTGTGTGTGTGTGTGTGTGTGTGTGTGTGTGTGTGTGGAGTGTCAAAAGTCGCACAGCAATCAATCAATTTAACAGCCATAGAAAATCAACAGAGGCACACAAAAAGTAGCACAGCGCACAGAAAATAAATTGTAGAAAATATATCAAAGAAAGTCGAATACATACAAAAGGACATTCGGGCAGTGGTTGAGAAGATTTCCTTCGAGCTGCTGCTGCTGCTGCTGTTTGGCTTGGCCTCTTGCTCTCCTGGACAAGCATAGGAAATGCGACAATGAATTATAAAAGTCATCTTATAAAGGAAATCAGCATGTAGTCGGCAAGGAAATGGTGGCTTGTTTGCGCAATGTCAACAAAAATAGTTGGCTTGTGCAAACATTTGCCCAAAAAATTTGATACAATTTGCCCGCCAGCTGTTGCAAGCAAGAGTCAACAAACTGTGCGGCAAAACGCGTGCCATATGCCGAGCTCGCAAAAAGATAGTCGCTAAAATAATGCAATGCAAAAAAAGGGGCAGGTTGACAAAAACTGAAAACTGGCCGGCGTCCTGCCTGACGTCATGTAATTAAAAACCACACGCTTATCATTTATTTATGCATGCCCGAAAATCGAGTTCCAAATCAGTCGGCGATACTTTGTCGTCAGCGTCGTGTGTCGTCGAAGTCCAACCTGCTGCCCTGATTTTGATTGGCTTCGCGGCCAGCATTAAGTGTCGCATATAAGATCCTGGCAGCCGGTCGCTCCACTCCACACAGTCCATCATCAGCGGGCATTGGAGTTTCAGGTTATGCTTTGCTTCATTTTCGGATTATTTTCTTGTTGCAGTCCGCTCTTTGTGTGGGGCAGCGGCAACATGCCACAAACATTCCACTCGATAAATTTTAGCAATAAAATTTAAGCTGTTGTTTTCTTGTTTTTTTTTTTTTTTTGGTTACTGCGTATATAATTTGCTCTTAATGTTGGCTGAGTATAATGCGCTGACAACCCCTTTTGGGCAATTAAAATGTTGTACCGATGGTAAAATAATATACAGAGAGGTTTCCCAATGACAACTGTTCATACAACTTGGCTAAGGGCGTGTCTGTAATGAAGTCGCCTAATTGCGCCAGAAGCAATGCAATTACGGAAATTCGAAGAGCCCGTGGCATGGGAATCTTAACAATTATTTTTATTGGCTCTGCAAAGTTGCGCAGAGTTGCTCAAATGGAAGTTTTAGTTCAGGACTTTCCAGTGCTTTTCTTTATATTTTTGATTCCAAATTGAACTTAATTCTTCGCATCTAAACTATTAAAAATGGGACTAAGGGGTACTTGGATTAATTAAGCGCTCGTCCAAAGAATTAAACTAACCATTTGCACACTTCTCAAGTACGCCTTGTGC